TTGACAAACTTGAATGGGTGGTTTATAATTCTCCATTTAGTTAAACAGTATGTATTAATGGTAATTATAAGAACCTCAAAGGCAACAAAATTAATATGGTATCTTTGAAGAATACAAAAGACTGAAAGAGAGACAGAGATTATGCCTTTGTACTTTCTTCAAAGGTCGACTCAATCAAAGATCATCCCCATTTTCTTACAAATATTAATAGTTAGGTACAATTAATGTGATAAAGCTTTGGGGAACAGAAAGAAGTCATAGAAGCAAACCAGAATTATGGAAGAAAATGATTGGAGACTTGTAAAATAGTAAATTAGTATGAAATTATGTTTTAGCAGTTTACTTATTGAAGTTGAGTCAAAAAAGTAAAAAGAAGAAATATATATCATTATTTATACTATCTGCAAAATGTTAAAACATCAAGCTTTATCATCTTTATAAGCCAAAAATCCTTGGTTTTCTACTTCAAGCTAGTGTGTTGGATCTGTGTAGCCAAAACTATGTAGATATTTTCCAGATGGAAAAAAATTAAATAAAATTAGTTATACATATGCATGTATGTACCTTATAAGACTTTTTGATAAAGCATGAAAAAAAAAAGAAAGAAATCTGCATCACCTAAGACCAAAGTAAAGCAGGAGACATAATAAGCAAGTAAACATCAAATTCAGCATTCAGCATGAGAATTTCCACAAAGTTACGGAACACTTGAGCTTCCATTTTGAATACTTCATGAGGAACAGAGTGCTAGATAAACTTATGTTCCTCTCATAGTGGAAAGTACTATAGAAGACAGTCTTCACCTAGCTTGCTTAAAATAAGAATAAACCTTATGTAGAGAAAGATCTAAAGAAAATATATACATTTTTCCCTAGTGGTATAAGAAGAAAACAAAAGCAAAGCGAAATTAAGAATTTGTGAAAATAAATCTTATTACAGAAAATAAAGCTCTTATTACAGATATGAGATCTGATTAAATTCATGTTATTTGATCAAAAACATAGAGCAAAGCATTTAATTTAAATATTGGGTTGATATTGATAGTCCTCTGGGTGACTGGTAAAAGGGATAACTTAAAGAGTAGAACTTCAAATCCACATATGTGAAATCATAACTAAACCAACCAACCAACAACAATAGCAAAAAAACCACACATAAGGGATAAAATTGATTGATTCCAAGCAGTAATAGAGATTGAAATCAAAAGCACATTTAAAATAAGCTTGCATTGAACATAAGAACAAGAAAAGACTACTGAATTTTTGAAAAACTCAAATGCAAATTTTTAACACATTCACACAAAAAAATAAAGATTAAAAGTATCAAGAAAAACATCTATACTCTGATGCAGGATACTCCAAAATGAGATACATAAAAACAGAGACATTTCATAAGTAGTTTTAGAACACCAAAGACCATAAAAAAGGATAGAATTTTGTTATTATCAGTATTATGGATGAATCTATAGATCAAAATTTCAAATGAAATAAGCCAGGCAAAGAAACACAAATGGCATATTATTTCTGTTTCATATGGAATCTAAAAAATCACAGATCAAGAGAAGTTTTGTAAGTATTAAAAGCAATCAAATATTAAAAATCCCAGCAGTTCAGGAGGCTTAAGAAGGAGGATTGCAAGTTGAAAGCCAGCCTCAGCAATTTAGCGAGGCCCTAAGCAATTTAGTAAAACCCTATATCAAAATAAAAAATAAAGGGGCTGGGGGTGTGTGGTGGAGTGGTTAAGTTCCCCTGGATTAAATTTCCACTACAAAAAAAAAAAAAAAAAAAAACCTTTCAAACTTTAAACTCATTTTATGAAGCTAGACTCATCCTGATACCAAAACCAGACAAAGACACATCAAATAACGAAAACTTCAGACCAATACCCCTGCTAGAAATAGATGCAAATTGCATACAAAAAGCATGTTAAAAAATAGTGCACCAAGAGCAATTGGAGTTCATTCCAGGGATGCAAGGTTGGCTGAACATAGGGAAATCAATACATGTGCCTCAACACATCCCTAGAATTAAAGTCAGGGATCACGTGATTAAATAGATACAGAAAAACAATTTGACAAAAGGCAGCATGCATTCATCTTTGAAACACTAGAAAAACTAGGGATAATAGGAATAATGCCAATGAAATGATTCTATACTTAGGAGACTAAAAAACTCTACCAGAAAGCTTCTAGAATTCATAAATAAATTCAGCAAAGTAGCAGGATATAAAATTAACACCCATAAATCAATTACATGTCTATATACCAGTGATGAATCAGGTGAAAGAGAAATTAGGAAAACCACTGCATTCACTATAGCCTTAAAAAAAACAACATTTTGAATCAATCTAACAAAAGAAAGACCTCTGCAATGAAATCTACAGAACACTCAAAACAAAATTAAAGAAGACATTAGAGGGTGGAAAGATCTCCCATGTTTGTAGGTAGGCAGAATTAATATTGTCAAAATGGCAATACCAGCAAAAGTGCTATACAGATTGAATGAAATTCTCATTAAAATTCAAGTGATGTTCTTCATAGAAATGGAAAAAGCAGTCATGAAATTCATTTTGAAAAATATGAGTCCTAGAATAATAAAATCAATCCTTAGTGAGAAAAGTGAAACAGGAGGCATCATAACACTTAAATCATACTATAGGGATTTAGTAACAAAAGCTGCATGGTATGGTACTAAAACAGACATGAAGATGAATGGTACATAATAGAAGACAGAGACAAAATCGTATATGTACAGTTATCTCATACTAGACAAAGGAGCCATAAACATACTTTGGAGAGAAGATGGAACTGGAGACTATAATGCTAAGTGAAATAAGCCAATCCCCAAAACCATACTTTTTGGTGCTGGGAAAACTGAAAATCTATATGTAGCAAAATGAAATTAAACCCCTGTCTCTCAGCCTGAACAAAATTCAACTCAAACTGGATCAAGAACTGGGCATTAGAACAGAGAGCCTACACCTAATAGAAGAAATTGTAGGTCCAATTCTCCATCATGTCAGCTTAGGAATTAACTTCCTCAATAAGACGCCAAAAGCCCAAGAAGTAAAATCAAGAATCAACAAATGGCATGAAATCAAATTAAAAAGTGTCTTCACAGCAAAGAAAACAATCAAGAATGTGAAGAGAGAGCCTAGAGAATAGGAGACAATCTTTGTCACCTGCACTTCAGATAGAACATTAATCTCCAGGATATACAAAGCACTCAAAAAACTTAACACCAAAACAAACAAAGAAAAAAAAAACAAATAACCAATAAATGGGTGAAGAAACTGATCAGGCACTCCACAGAAGAAGAAATATAACTGGTCAACAAATATTTAAAAAGATATTCAACATAAAAAATAAAAATTAAAAAAAAAGATATTCAACATTTTTAGCAATTAGAGAAATACAAACTAAAACTTCACTGAGATTTCATCTCACTCCAATCAGAATGGCAATTATCAAAAATACAAGCAACAGTAAATTTTGGCAAACACGTGGGGGAAATGGTACCCTCATACATTGCTGGTTGGACTGAAAATTGGTGCAACCACAATGGAAAGCAGTATGGAGATTCCTCAGAAAACTTGGAAGAGAACCACCATTCGACTCAGCTCCATTTGAGGAGTATATACTACTCGGTATATACCCAAAAGATTTAAAGTCAGCAAACTACAGTTCTGTAGCCACATCAATGTTTCTAGCAACTCAATTCATGAGAGCTAAGCAATGGAACTATAACCTAGGTGCTCTTCCACAGATGAATGGATAAAGACAATGTGATATATATAAACAATGTTATATTTTTCAGCCATAAAGAAAAATGAAATTATGCATTTACTGGTAAATGGATGAAACTAGAGATTATCATGGTAAGGAAAATAAGCCAACCCCCCAAAACCAAAGTCTAAATATTCTCTTTGATACATGAGTGCTAACACACATTAAAGGGTGGGCATGAATAGAATTTTATTGGATTACAGAAAGGGCTGGAAAGGGATGGGAAAGGGCATGGGAATAGGAGAGACAATAGAATGAATCATACATAATTTTCCTATGTTCACATATGAATATAGAACCAGTGAAATTTCACCTTATGTACAACCACAAAAATGGGGTCCTAATTAGAATAAGTTATACTCCATGTATGTATAATATATCAAAATACACTCTACTGTCATGTATATCTATAAAAAGCAAATTAAAAAACAAAGCAGCTATTAAATAGACTTTTTATAGGAAGCCAGAAAAGAAAAGGAATAAAATCTTTAATGGTACAAGAAAAAATATGAATTAGACTTATGGTCCATGAAATTTCTTTTTTTCAAGAGTAAGAGAAGTACAAATATTCTCACTGAAAAACTAAAAAATGCTCACTAAAGACAATTCTAAAGAACATACTTCTATGAGATATATCAGGTGGAAGTTCTGATAAAAAGAAAATGGGGAAAAAACAGGTAAATATATGAGTCAAAATAATATAACTAACTTATTATACAATAATAATAATTTCTAACTCTTGGAATAATAAAGAAGACAGAGCAAAATATACATATAGCATTAACCCCAGAGTCTGGGGTACTCATGAGAATTAAATCAGTCTAATGTGCTTGTATTTTAGAAAAAAATATTAAAGATATTAACATGTGTGTATATTTCAACATGCATAAATTGCAGACACCCTCTGGGAGATACCTTAATTGTGTTAGTTAAATCAGAATATTTCATTTTTGTCCTATGATCTTATTTATATTTAATAAAAATAACAAGTTATATGCTTTGTATTTGGAAATATCCAAGAAACATCCTCCAGAACTTATTGTAAAAATAGTACTGTTCAACAAAAACAATCACAAATGTTAAAACTAATGAGAAAATACTCTCAATTTAGGCTTTGATGGAGCTACTCGAAGACAATTTTATTTATGGAATATTTTTGATAGTGCATAAAACTTGTGGCTTCTCAGAAGGATACCACTGTGACACAAAATCTTACCTTAAGAAAGAAGCTGTCATAATCTGTCCTGTACAGAAACTGTTGATTATCTAGAAAAAGAGGAAGAACAATATTACAAAAGCATCATATTGTTTCATTATTTATAAATGAAAAATTAACAATATTTTATATAAATTGCTATTTCCTGTGTAATTGTATTATATGCACACATTTATTATATTTTTCTAAATGGAAAGAAGAATAGAGAATAAACAATTCAACAGTTCATTTGTATATTACAGAACATTTCTTTGTATCAAGTTAAATTATGTACTAAAAGTAGTCAAATATTTGGATTATGTATTATATAATATAAATATATTTAATATATTAATATTAATCTATTATACATTAGTATACATACTATTAATTAGTATTATCATTATTTTGTCTATTATAGTGAATGAATTAAATATATTTTATAATATTCCACATAAGCACAGGATTATTTGCCCTAAAAAACAACTTCAGTCCATATTACTGAACTATACTTCACCTAAAAAGTACATAGGCTAGTTTGCTACACATTTATCCATGTTATTGATTTTTCCATCATATATAAAGGCTTACAACATTCAAGAGATTGTTCCTGCTACAATATTATAAATTCATTGCCTGGAACACAGTTTGATATCGAATGTCTGCCAGAGTATGTTAACAAGGGTATTCAGAAGAAAATTGTGCAACTATAATATAGTGGATATGTAAAGAAAATTCTCCAAAGATAACATACCTTTAATGTCATGCACATTTTCCTTAAGCAAAGGTAGCTTAAGGAATGAATATGTTATTATTTTGCATTACTTTTCCCCTGTATACTTAAAAGAACTAGTTATATTTTAAAAATTCAGTGCTACTCTGGGCTATTTAGGTGCCTCTGAGAAGGACCAATAATGTTGTTGTCTGGAGTTTGATGCTATGTGAACTTTTATTCCTTTAGATAAGATTCAGTTGTGAAAATTCATTCACTGTTGAGGCATAGATTTCTCCAGATATCCTGACATCTCTATCAGCATTTCTCATCTCTACACTGATGTGTTGTGGTCAGCCTCTATGGTCAATGCACTCTTAATAATTTACATATTTTCCTCAATTCTTTTCTTTGATAGCTTCTTCAGAGAAAGCAAGAATAATTGCAATTAGAGATTGACATTTCAAAATATTAGTATAATTTTGGCATTCTCATTTTAAATAAGCTTATTTTTCTGGTATTACAGCTAATTGTTACATCTCACAACAGAGGGAACAGGACCTTCAACCAGAGCCAATCATTGCTGTGGGGCAGAAAAGAGGCAGAATTTAGAGGGGCAAACTATAAATCCAAAGAAATGTGGTCTGAAGAAGGCTATAGCAGCTTTAGATTGAATTCCAGGCAAGCATTGGTATGTGGCCACAGCCAGGTATTTGTCTTATGAAGTTTGTGTTTTCGATCTTTGGCTAAAACACAAGATAACGGGAGGCACTAAAGATGGTTAACAGGCGATCAAGCTAGAAAACAGAATTGGTTCTGAGAATATTAAAGTATCCTCTCAGACCAGGTGAAGTCTACTAAAGGACATGTTTTCTGATTCCACTTACTAGTAAAATACATATTTCATGATACATTTTAAGAACTCTCAGTTTTACAATGATAGTTGAAAAATTTTCTAAAAGGCTGATTAAATAAAATGAAATCTGCTGATATCACCAAATGAAAACTTGATAGAAATAAAAATACTTGTATTCTTTAGCAAGATAAAAAACATTTTGATATAAAAAATTTTTAACACTGTAGGTATAGAAAATCAGGAACTCTGGAATAGTATATATGGATTGCATTTTGCTGATAATTTTTTATACATACTGAGGGAAAATATCATGGGAGTGTATTATAGAAAAAATTTTTATGAAACAAGATGTTCAATTAAGTAAAAGGTAATTAAGCAAAGATAATTTTCTCAGATTAAATTATATATTTTCTTTTTATAAGTATTTTAATATAAAATAAAATTATTGTTATAAGAATGCTTCATTAGGTAGAGAAATAGAATATGAATAAAAAAAAATATTTACTTTTTCTAAATGTAATATTTAGTAATTTAGATGGACTTTGCTATGTGACCTATAATTAAAATGGATATGATTTAATTGTTTCGGTTCATTTTGGGGTAATGGTCCCCTTTATGAAGTTTTATTATTTTAAAAAGTAGTAAAATACTTCTATTCTTTATCATCATTAAAAATAGTTTGATTAAAAATTTGTTTTGACAAATAACCATATGTATTTATGGATTTCAGTGTGATGTGTCAAACAGTAGATGGGGTAGAGAGAGAAGATGGGAGGGGAGGGGAGGGGGGATAGTTGAGGATAGGAAAGGTAGCAGAATACAACAGTTACTAATAGGGCATTATGTAAAAATGTGGATGTGTAACCGATGTGATTCTGCAATCTGTAGTTGGGGTAAAACTGGGAGTTCATAACCAACTTGAATCTAATGCATGAAATATGATATGTCAAGAGCTTTGTAATGTTTTGAACAACCAATAAAAAATAAATAAAAAAACAAAAACAAAACAAAACAAAAAAAAGATTTAATAAGGATAGTCAATATATCCATGGACTCAAACAGTTATCATTTTTTATATGTTGAAAACATTCCAAATTCTCTCCACTCTTTTTGAAATATACAGTTAAGTGTTCCCAAGTGTATTTACCCTACTGGACTACAGAACATTAGACAGGTTAAATAAAATATTAAAATGTGTTGTATTCGAAGATTTTTAAAATTATTCTTTCTACTTAAATGTATCCTGTACCTTTAGCCATTCTCTCTCCATTACCACCCCTTCCTAATCTCTGATAAAAATTATTTTAATTACAACATTTAGGACATTAACTTTTTGAACTTCCATATATAAGTGCAAACATACTAAATTTCTGTGCCTGGCTTCTTTTACTCACGGTATTGTATAGTTCTACAGAGTTACTGCAAATGAGAGAAGTACATTAATTTTTATGGCTGAATAGTATCCTACTGTGTATATACAGCATATTTTCTTTAAGAATTAATGCAACAAAAGAAATCTAGGTTGATTCCATATCTTGGCTATTGTAAATATGCTGCAGAGAACATGGAAATGCAGATATCTCTTCAACATTCTGATTTCCTTTCCTTTGAATAAACACCCAGTAATGGGTTTGCTAAATAATATTGTAGTTCTGTTTTTTCTTTTTTCTTTTCTTTTCCCACCCTGTGTCAGGAGCAGCAAATAAATTATGGTTCTTGAACTGTCCAGAGACAGAGGCAATACCCCTCTAGGGAACTCTCAGTGTGAAAGTATCAATTTGAGACTGCCCAGCAGCTGTGGTGATGCCCTGTTCAAAGAGAAATTCTGTGCCAGCCATGGACTTACCAGTTCTTTCCCTTGGGTTCAAACCCCAGGTACCCAGGGGTAGAGAATTATGAGTACAAGCTGATAGTCGTAATTGGGCTGTTTATACCCTCAACTTGGGTTTTGTTTATCTCGAAGAAACTTTCTCATAATAAATCCTTTTGATGTTTAAACCTATATAATAAACCTGCCAAGCTGGCTTGTGGTAATTATTTCCCTATCAAGGTTTAGGGATCCACCAGGCCTCGACTTTTTCTCTATTTGTGTATCTGTTTGTCTTTTCTCTATCCCCTCAATGCCCCGTCTGGGAACCCGAATTAACAGCCATGCAGGACACAGCATTTCTCCCTAGCTCCCTTCCTTTCTTTTCTTCTGGCACCTTCATTGTGTTTTCCCTAATGGCTGTAGTAAGTTGTATTCACACCAACAGTGTATTTCCCTGTCACTGTAGTCTCAACAGAATTTTGTCTTTTTTTTATACTAGTCATTCTAATTGGGTGGAATTACATCTCACTATACTTTTGATTTTCATTTCCCTCATGTTTTAATCAGATTTTTCATTGCTGTGACCAAAATACTTGAGAAGAACCACATAGAAGAGGAAAAGTTTATTTTGGTTGGTTCAAAATTTCAGAAGTATCAATTTATAGATGCCTTTTTTTTTATTGCACTGGGTTAAAGATGATACAAAATATGGCAAAGGGGTATGGCAGAGAAAAGCAGGTTGGGACATGGCAACAAGGAAGCAGAGAGTACTCCACTAAGCACAGACAAAATATAAACCCCAAAGGCCTGCCCTCTTGACCTACCTCCTCTAGCCACACCCTATCTGCCTATAGTTCTGTCCCATTTAATCCATATCAGTGGATTTCTGTACTTATTGGGTTAATGCTCTTATAACCCAATCCTTTCATTTCTAAACTTTCTTGCATTGTCGCATACATGAGCTTTTGGGAGACATCTCATATCTAAACCAAAATACCCTAATGATTAGTGATGTTTAGCATTTTTTACTTTGCTGGTGTATTGTGTGTCTTCTTTTGAAAAATGTCTATTCAAATCATTTGCCCACTTTTAATTTTATTATTTTTTTCTTTGTTTTTGAGTTTATTGAGTTTCTTATATATTCTGAAAATTAAGACCTTGCCAAATAAGTAGTTTTTAAAGTAATTTTTCCCATCATGTAGGTTGTCTCTTTACTCTGCTTTTTAATTGGCTATGCAGAAACGTTTTAGTTTGATGCAATTTAGTTTGACAATTCTTCTGCTAGCTGTCTGTGCTTCTGGATCATAACTCCATAAATATCTTTGCAGAGAACAAAGATCTGAAGCATTTCTCTTATGTTTTCTTCTATTAGTTTCATGTAAGTTATTTTTAAACACATTTTCAGTTTATTTTAAAATTTAGTTTAATTTTAATTTTGTATGTGATAAAGTGGTGTCTAGTTTTATTCTTTTGTGTGTTTATGTGTGTGAGTGTATATATATATATATATATGTGTGTGTGTGTGTATGTGAGATATATATATATGTGTGTGTTAGTATTATATCATATATATATATATATATATATATATATATATATATATGATTTTAATTACTGATTCAATTTTGTCTCACATTATTGGTCTACTTACATTTTCTATTTCTTCATGGTTAAATCTTGGTAGGTTACATGT